AATTAAGCCTTACATTTGGCGCGCATTTAGCGCGCTTCTCGAATCGCAGCTGCGCACAGCGATCTCAAAGCCGCCTCAAAAGGATGCGATTTTCTTTTTTTATTTCAAGAATTAACTTTCGTTTCGAGTGTTTTCTTGAGACCACAGCTGAAATTTCAATATGCCTTGCAATCATTTTTGAGCCACGCATGTCACTGGTCTGTCAAACAGGGCTGACTTATAGAGCCCTTATATCGGTCTCTATGAGTCGACCTGTTTGACAGACCACTGACATGCGTGGCTCAAAAATGGTTGCAAGGCATATTTCAAGAATTCTTCCACATTTCGCAGAAATTTCTGAGCTTTCCGTAGCAGAAATATAAGGAAAAACATCGCTCTATAGTTGTATCGCTTTTATTTCCATTTTATACAGCCAAATAAACTTGCTATGAGACCTAAGTTCAGGCTTATAGGTAAGAGACTGATTTCTTTCCACTTTTCCAGCACTCTATGAAGACCATTTGGAAGAACCAAACTTAGCTTTAGAGTCAACAAAATCAAAATTATGGTATGAGATAACTACCGAAAATCTGTCCAGAGACCGCCCACATACCATAACCGAGCAAAAAACCGCGCTAAATGTGGATGTGATCTCATTTTCGCTGCTAGAGCGCTCTGAGGAGGTTTTCTACCAAAAAAAAAAAAACATTTAGTATTTGAATTGTCGAGATCCAAGCTATCGAAAGACCACCAGAAGTATCTGAAAAGCGGAAAAACGCCCTGCCTCCAAGCGTTGAAATTGGTTTGAGATAGCGCAAAAGTACCTTTGATCTACATGGAAACAATCTTAAGGAGATACCTTGTCACTATTTGATCCTGCATCATTCGCAGCTTGGCCGGCGGGATGTAAGCACCTCCTGTTCTCGTTCTCAGAAGATCCAATGGCTCTTTTTTTGCCTTTGGTTCCTCCTCAGTTTTGTTTGTCTCCTTCACATTCCTGTCCTCATTCTGCTTAGTTCGTTCATCGCTGCTATGCCTCCTGTAAAAAAGAGCCAATCCACGCAAAAAAAGTATGAATTTAAATCTTCACAAACCTCTTTTCACTTCGAGAACGCCTCCTATGCTCTCGCTCTCGCTTATCTCTCCTTCGAGAACTTCTCCTACTTCTACTGCGGCTTCCTCTCTAAACCATAGGCTATAGCCATCCAAGAAAATTTATTTGAATAGAGGAGAGCCTATCGAATGGTGTTGAGTGGTCCGCAAAACTTCGAACCTCACAGAAGAACCGAACCCGCATCTCACCCTCTTCGAGGGCGAGTGCTAAGCAACTGCACTACCAAGGCTCCTAGTCTGCTATCACTTTCTGCGACACAAGGGTTCAATCCACCAAGAACTATCCGTCAACGGTTTGGCCTGATTAGCATATTCCGGCATCAAACTCAGACCAAACGTTAACGGTTGGTTGCTGGCAGATCGAAACTTTGTGTCGCAGAAAGGGTGAAAGCAAAAGGGGTTCCTCGGTAGCGTGACTGGCTAGCGCGCTCACCCGAAAAGGGTGAAATGCGGGTTTGATTCGTCAGAGCTTCAAAATTTTGCATATCAGTCAACACTCTTGATCATGTATCTGTAACATCATACCAACGCTGAAAGTGAATAAATAAGAAGAACTCTTATGGAGAAAACTGTGATCTATGCTTTTACTTACCCTATTATGAGATCGATTTGGGGACTTCGAGCGTCCCCTTGATGTCGACCTTCGAGACGAACGAAAATCGTCTCCTTCCAAGCGTGGCCGCTTGGGAGATTTTGATCGTTCCCTCGAGTCAAGGTCTCCGCGAACGCGTATCATCCTTTTCCCTTCGGGAACGTTTTGGTGATTTCGATGGCGACACTGGACCAGACCTCCGTGAGCGCACATCCTCTACCTCCTTCAGCGGGTGGCTTGGAGATTTAGATTGCTCTCTAGGAGATGGTGACTTTCTTGGAAGCACATCATCTACCTCATTCTGAGGACGGCTTGGCGATCCCTTCCTTTCTTTCGAATCAGATCTCAGTGATGAGGTGGCTTCAGTTACGTCCGCTTGTGGGCGCTTCCCAGACCGAGGGTGTTCTTCGGAATTGTCGGAATCACCGCCACTACTTGGATGAGATTCTGATGACTGGACATTTTCGTCGCTCGAAGAACTGCGGCTTCTCGATCGGGATGGCATCGTGTTACTCTGTAAAGAACGAAAATCAGCAATTTCTAGTCAAAACAAGTCAAAGTTTGCACATAAATCGTTCCATAAACGAATGCTATCAAGTTCCAAATCGTCCCCGTCCCAGGTTTTTTTTTTGGTTTCAAGAGGAAAAATGAAAAGAGACCTCACTCGTGCGACAGGAACTTTTAAAAGGAGTGTTAGTAACCATTTGAAAGCTGAGATTTCCGGTAACAAAAAGACCTTTCGAAAACCCACGACGTGGGGCTGTAGTCAAAAAATCAGTTTTCCATGTTACTGATACTCCTGTGAAAAGCTTCTGCCCAGCGAATGAGGTCAGTTTTTCATTTGTCCCTCTATAACAGAGAAGAACCGAAACTACTTCGACGTTGCTACGTCAGAGGCATACGCACGTTTCGGCGGTGTCGCCCGCTTCATCAGAGCCACATGCCCCACACGTAAGATGAATCTTTACATATTTATTATCATGTAATCCATCGACTGAAGAAAGGGGTGCTAACTCAAAAACCATGTGTTATCGCCAGAAATGACGTCTCCCCATCCCTCCTACAGAGTAGGGTTCATTTTGGGGGCGCGGGCCAGTGATGAAGCGGGCGATACCGCCGAGACGTGGGCCACTGATGAAGCGGGCAACAGTGTATTTCATCGACTGCTTTTGGAACCTCGCTATAAAGGTCCATATAGTCTGTGAGAATGTTCAAAGCCCTTTCGACGTTGGTACGTCGGAGCCCTGTGCACGTCTCGACGGTGCCGCCCGCTTCATCAGTGGCCCACGTCTCGGCGGTGTCGCTCGCTTCATCAGTGGCCCACGTCCCACACGTAAGGTGGATTTCTACATACTCCCAACCAGCCGTAATCCATCGACTGAAAAAAATGGTCATAACGCAATATCATGAGCTATTACAATGGCGTCTCCCCATCCATGGGTAGCATTCAGTGTGGGGAATGGGCCACTGATGAAGCGGGCGACACCGCCGAGACGTATGGATGGCTCTGACGTATCCACCTCGAAAGAATAGATAGATAGAGCTCTCGGTGTTGATCAATCCCTGATAGATGCGCCATGCTTTCGACTTCAATTTTTTACTTCTTTTGAGGTGACTGAATGCATATCTGGCCTTTACAATGACTCGCGCTGGCCTCCCGCTGAACCGAGTCAGACCTGCTTATCCTCCCAGACGAGTCTGAGACCTGCCTGGTACCAATTTACCGACCTCGGAGGGATGGATGGCTTGGTGAGCCACGAGCGCGAGATCGAACCATTGACCTCGTGTGCGACGCAGAGCACCTCTAACCACTGCGCCACATGCTCTCTTCCACATCGAAAAGGCTCTAGAGATTCTCGCAGACTATATTGAATGTTTAGAGCGAGGTAACAATCGAAGAGATGGATTAGAAGCTACGGAAAAAATCATGTTTAGCCCAAAATCCCCTCGATTCGCAGAGGAGCCGAGGCGCGCTTAGTAGGAGGATTTGAAGAACTTGGTAAGGTTCCATTTGCTTTGCTTGCCACTTTCAAAGGAGTAAGGTGGGTTAATTTCCCCCGGAACTCTGGGTCCCATGCTACTTATTGATTTTTCTGCTCTATTGATTTTTGAAAAAAAATTCGTCGACGATTTCACAGCCATTAAGCAGACAGTAAGGGATGAAGCAGTGCAAAATGAGACTTCTAACAACAACAACTATTTCGCACTAACAAAATAAAGAAAAAAAAGAGATCAAAAGGCGACAACAAAGAAGAAAATCGTAAGAGGAAAAAAATAGATGAGATACGAAATCGATGGGGTGCCGTCGGCCGACGGACAACTGCCGCGCGCGGCGTCGCGATGCTGCGTCAGTTAAGGGTTCGCGGCCTTCGACTGTTGAAATAATTCGATAGAATTCCTCTTGCCAAGGAAAGAAGAGCTATCTTCTTCGAAGAGCGCAGGTGGCGCACTGGTTAAAGGTGGCTCTCCGTCGCACACGAGGTCGATGGTCGATCGCGCTCATGTCCCAAGCCATCCATCCCTCCGGGGTCGGTAAATTGGTACCAGGCAGGTCTCAGACTTGTCTGGTAGGATAAGCAGCACTGACCCGGTAGCGCGGGAGGCGACCGCGAGTCATTGTAAGGGCCAGATATGCACTCAAACCCTCAAACGAGGTTAAAATTGAAGACATGCATGCGCATCCTCAGGGATTGTCTACGCAGAGGTTTATCCTCTTATCCTTCGTCCTATTTCAAGCTCAATGTGAAAACGATGGAGACGCATATCGCGGTATAATTGTTAAGTACCACCGCAGATTTGTAGGCCTTGATAGCAAACTCGGAAAAGATCACGAAGCGAGTGTTTCCGAGATGAATGAGACGCGGGTTCGATCCCGGCCGAGGTCCAAAGTTCTACATACTACTCGGAATTCTTGGATATATGGTCATAACAACATAACTTTGCTAAGAAACCGTCAAGTGAAGTCTTCAGTCGAGTACTATGAGACCTCCTTTAGAACTGATACATCCTAAAATGCCATTACAGAGCTCATGAAAGGCTCAGTATCTGCTGCCAGGATGGATTCATTTTAAGCGAGATCTCACTTGAATCGACTGAAAGTGCTGATATGTTTATACTGGCGTAACAGCCGTGAGCCAAGCACATGACAATCGACAATCAGTCACTTGGAAAGAACGCCACGGTGACCCTTTCATGTGTGTAGAGTGTATTCGGCGTCGATTCCTCTATATGTACGGGGTATAACCCTTCCAAGGAACTGATCAAACCAGAAGTCACCGTGCTACTAATGCGGTTGAAAAGCCGAAACACATGTCCAGCCTCTGTGGTGTAGTGGTAGCACGCATCGCCGCTATGGATGAAACGCGGGTTAAACTCCCGTTTGAGGTCAGATTTTTTTCCCACCACTCAATTCTTTAGGAATAGTGACTTTTTTCGAGCGTTAAACACCTCACGCTGAGCGTCCCAATTCATTTCGTGCAGGCATCAAATTATGAATGATACAATGAGATATGAGGGATCCAAAATGTTCATTCTCTCTACGTCTACGTGGCAGCTGGCATTGCGGCTAAACATCCTCCAGAAGAGGGAGGGAGAAGGGGAGCAAGTGGATTTCCTGGCCTTCCATACGCCACATCAACTTCTACTTGAATGGGTTATTTTAGGTTATAAGGGGACAAATGAAAAACCGATTTCATTCGCTAGCCAGGAACTTTTCATGGGAGTGTCAGGTACTCATTTGAAAGCTTAAATCTCTGACTAAACCCCCAAGTGGTCAGATTTTCGAAAAAGCCTTCTCTTTGACGTCGTCACACAAGGAAATTCCTTGCGTTCCAGACTCGCATATTTCTCGCCGGAGAGAGCTCTTTCTTTGGGCTATTGGCAAAACATTTCGCTATCGAATGATTACTAACAGCCCAAAGAAAGAGCTCTGCCCAACGAGAGATATGAGCGTCTGGAACGCAAGGAATTTCTGTCTGTAACAACGTCAAATCAAGGCTTTTTCGGAAACATGCGACGTGGGGCTGTGGCCAGAAATCTAAGCTTTCGAATGATTACCAACACTCCCATGGAAAGTTCCTGCCCAGCAAATGAGATGGGTTTTTCATTTGTCCCAATGGAGAAGTGCCCTCCTTTGCATGCTGATGATCATGTGTATGTGTATACACGGACGTATATGCACGCATACATCTACATGTGTACACGTGTATCTGCACACATACACATGCACAAATATCCACATGTGATCTAGCTTATGTGTGTGAATTGTATCCTATCGTCGGACTCCCAATGACCCTCGTATCGTTTCGAGTCCGCAAACCCGCTCACGATGATCCAACCCAAAATCCTAAGAGTAAGAGCTTATAAGCTACAACTGAAGTAAACTCTCAGGGTCAAATAATCGTATCGAAGGCTGAGAGGATAACAAATAGCGCGTTGATCGTTCCCTGAGGGATGACCTCAGTATTCGACTTCATCAGGCATTACTATGAGTGAGTGAATGAATATCAGGTGTTCACAATGACTCGCGGTGGCCTACCGATGTGTCAAGTCAGTGCTGCTATTCTCCCCGGACAAATCCCATACAAAATCACCGAACGAGGGAGGGACGGAAGGCTTTATGAGCTGTGCGAGCGAGATCGAACCAGCGACCACGAGTGCGTCGCAGGGAACCTCTAGTCACTGCGCCACACGCGCTTCAAAATTGAGAGCATCATGCAATATCTGAGGTAGCAGTAACGTATCTCGATATAAAAAAGATTCCTGTATATCCATAAAAACACTATCAGACGTCATGAACACTCCGCGAAACGATACGAAAACGCCGGATATCTGTGGTTTCCCAAGATCTAAAGGTCCCTTCAAGTCACTTGACTTTCTAGAAGACTCCAGGGAGAACAAATAATTATATTCACATACTCATTCATATTCCTAACCCTTTCGGAGCCGTTGACCCACCTAACCTGCATCTCCAACCTGCAGCGTGGCGACGCTGGACGGTCTGCTTCAAGTCCTCTGCATCTCTAACCCTCAGCGTAGAAAACGCGATGGAAGTACTACTGTATTATCTCACTTACAATTTTGTTGCTATATTCCTACCTATGACAACAGAATATATCTACATATAACATTAACATGGGAAAATAACATCAGTGATACGATTGACATAATACGAAAATACATTCAGTGCGTCTCCACGCTGGGGTCAGAAGTGCAGAGGACGTGGTCCACGACCCCTAGAGGGTTAACCACAAGTAGACGGGCGAGCACGGCAGGAGTACCCCAGCGCCCCCGGCCAGCGGAAAGCCGTCACGAGGTGTAGCTTGGGCGTGACGTTGGGAAAAATTCTGTTTGGTGCCTGCCGTTTAGCGCGGCGTAATTTTGTCTACTTGTTCAAATCATCTTATTTCAAATTTTCGTGCTTCTTGAACGAGCGATTTCTCCAGTCATCGTTGGACGTCGAAGTGTCGTGAAATCCCTACCAGGCAAGTCTTGTTTCGCTTTTTTAGAGTATTTTATGAAGCGATTTTGGTTTATTTTATGAGTTACTTAAAAACGCATATGGCGCAGTGGTTAGAGATGTCGTGCGTCGCGCGCGCTGTCGTTGGTTCGATCCGCGTTGATGGCTCACTAAGCCTTCCATTCCTCCGGGGTCGGCGAATCGGTGCCAGACTTGTCGGAGGGGATAGGGAGCACTGACTTGATACACTGATGGACCTCCTCGATTCACTGAAGCGCCAGATATGCTTCAATACCCGAACGAGGCTTCGAATGGAGCCCAATGCCTAGCGCATCCCTTAGGAATTGATTGCTTCCGAGAGCTTTGTCCTTTATACTTTTATTGAGGTTTGAGACTTCTAGGATCTGCAAGGTTAGCCTGAGTAGATTGTCAGTAATAGAATATGAAGGATGAAGCTCTCGGCGTTGATCAGTCCCTGAGCGATGCGCCATGCATTCGCTTCCATTTGTAGCTTCTTTAGATTTGATCTGATGCATATCTGTTGCAAGGACTCGTGGTGGTCTGCCGATATATACAGGCAGTGTTGTCTATCTTCCCAGACATCTCTAGTACCAACACGAGCCCAGAGATATGGAGGGCTTGGTGAACCATGAGCGCGAGATCGAGCCATCGACTCTATTGCGTTGCGACGCAGAGCACCTCTAACCACTGCGCCACATGCGCCTTCTAGTAGAATATATCAATGCAATGAAGGAATGGTTGACGTTGCGGCGGTGGTATCGCTTTTGCCCCGTTCTGTAGTTATTAAGCCTTCCAGTTATCCGTTCGAGACAACGCGCACAAATACGTAAATGGCAAGATTTCGTTACTTAAGCGCTACACGCAAAATTACAGCCTCGTGGGGGAGTTGAACCCGCGTCGCACTGTTTCCGCGGGTGAGTGATAACTAGTGGTACGCAGGTTCGACTCCCTCTCGAGGTTAGTGTTTTGCACACCGCGCAACGTATTAGATAACCTGTATAAAGTCCACCCTGTGTCCACGCATTCCCGACTTATGAACGTGCGTGGCGCAGTGGCTAGAGGTGCCCTGCGATGCACACGTGGTCAGTAGTTCGATCTCGCTTGCATAGCTCACCAAACCTTCCATCTCTCTCTGGTCTGTGAATTACTACCAGATCTATCAGGAAGCATGGCAGCACTAATTTGGTCTATCGGTAGACCACTGCGAGTTATTGTGAGGTGTTTCTCAGGGATTGATCAAAGCCAAGAGCTTTATTATTACCCTTCGTTATTCCTACCCTAGGCTCCGTGGGACACGTCATCAGTGAGTAATCGGAGGGCTTAAAAACAGCAAAAACGGCTCAGAAGAAGCGAAGGTGCCGTGACGTCAGTTATTATTTCGCCTTATTAGACTGTATTCCTCCCAGATGGTTCATCGCCCTATCGTGGATGGGAGGTGTTCCTGGGTGTCGGCCTGCAAAGTGGAGCGGAGGTTCAATCCCACCAACAGGGCCACCCAAGTCTTAGAACGAGTCTGACGTTTCCACTCGGAAAGCCAAGCCATGAGTAAAACGTGCTAGGATTGACCGTCGTCTTAGTAGCTTCTAGTCGCGAGGTGGTATTCCCTCTCTCTGGTTCGAAAGGGCCGGCTACTGCTCTAGTGTGCTGACGACCTGAAGAAGCCCTGGTTAGCCAACCCTCGGGACTCCAGGGAACAAAACAGTTCAACCGGCACAGCACCCCTGTGCTGGGGCCCACCCTGTTAGTCATGACGGGCCATTCCAAGTACTGAACTGTATTAAGTAATCTCTAACTTATCAGTGTTAATATGGATTATCTTTTGGTGATTGTTTAGTCCTGATTCGTCCTTTTTAGATGAGTTCCATCGGGACGGGCTATGATCTAGCCGCATCGACGTTTTCACCAGATGGCCGCATTTTCCAAAGTAAGGGCTTTTTCTCGCTTTTATGTAACCGCTTTAGCGATCTATGACGTTATGGTATACCTAGTGATGTAGAGTGATGTGCAAAACATTTGCATGAGGCGGGACTTGAACCTGCATCTCACTCATGTCGGGGAGCGCGTGCTGTATCCCTTGAACCATCAACGCCTGTTTTGCCGTCACTCTTTCTACGCTGCGACGCATCCAATGCCCAATATCTGCCATCCTGGAATCAATGTCGATACCGACTACCTGGGCCAAACCGTTTGTGGTTGGTTGCTTGCAGACTGGCGCGTCATAGCGTAGAAAGAGTGGTGGCAAAACAGGCGTCGGTGGTGCAAGGGATAGAGCACGCGCCCCTGGATTATATGAAATGCGGGTTCAACACCCTCCTGATGCAAGTGTTTTGCACATCAATCTACACCATTGGGTCTATTCAGTGTTATAATGTTTCTTTTTAGTTGAATATGCTCAAAAGGCTGTTGATAACAGTGGAACGATGATCGCTCTTCGAGGGAAAAATGGCGTTGTAACGGCTGTCGACAAAGTTATCACGTCGAAAATGTACGAGGAGGTAAGAGCCGGACTGATGAGACATTTTGAACATGATCTTCTCTCTTTCTCTCCATTCAGAGAACTGTGCAAATCTTTGAAACCTGATTTTCTTAGAACGCTAACCCACGTATCTTCAACGCTAATGAGAGGATCGGACTAGCTTTAGCTGGAGTGTATCCTGATTGTCGTGCTCTGAAGGGCTATGCATGTAGTGAGGTATATCATCCTTATCGTTGCTATAGTAGTGGTACGAGTGAGAAGAGAGAGTGTTAGCAGAGCGATAGCCTCGATGGTTTAGTGGTAGTACGCGCTTTCGATAGGGGTGAAGAGCTGGTTCAACTCCTGCGCGGGATCAAATGTTTTGCGTATCTCTTGACATCATCGGAGAGTATAAGTGTTCTTTTTTGTGATTAAACCAGCTATAGGAATTCGT